GTTTGAAACCAATCAAGTAACAAATTAGTGTGTAATGTGAAAAGCACTTCAATCAATGTTGGAGGACAAAATCTGAACACAGGAATAGAAACCAATAAACTAAAATTTAACATCTACTTCTTGAATAGAGTAACGAAATAACTTGATTTTCAGCATACACACAGTAAATAAAAAATATACCGAGTCTGATATTAATAACGCGAAAGTAAATCCAGAACTATTCCAGTGTTCAGCGAATTTCAGGTACATATCATCCCAATGACAGAGCTTATTGCCAATGTCAATATTTGATTATTGTTAAGTAATGTTACATGACTAAATTTCAGTCGTCGAGGATGGGCACTGAAGCTAGGATAATGTCAGTATGTGTGCCGGGCGTTTGACTAAATCATCATACCAAAGGGGGGACACAGTCGCTAAACATTTAACTGCTCAGATGAATACCATAATAAATTATTGACTGACTCGCCTGTACATTATAGGCTTGATTTGAACAAGACCAATAAGCTCTGCGAGTTGCAATGAAACAAGGATCTGTAAAAATTCTACAACCAGTTCCATTTTTAACCAATAAGTTGTGAACAGCTGTGTTCGAACCGTGGAATGACTTTCAAGTATGTCTGCAAGCTTAAAATGAAGCAGCCAATCTGAAGAACAATCCGACTTGGATAATACTAGCATAATACAAGAGGTTCCAGCGATTTAACCACCCGTGAGGAGGAGAAACGCTGCAACAGACTGATTACACAACTATTACGCTATAAGTTCCTGTTGTCATTAAATAAGCGAGCTGGTCAAACCAATGAAGCCCCAACCTTGTTCGTTCAAGGTCAGTCTAAACATGCATTTTTCATCACATTACATCATCATGGCTTCTTCACTAAACGATGAAGTTTAGAGTCCACTTGGCAGTTCAGATATCAGTTCCAGCTCCAGTTCAAGTTTTAGAATGCTGGCGAATGAATACTAAATAATAATAAAACTAAATACATTTAGTTTGCTTTAAAAATCGTGCATTTGTCGCCCCATCAGACCAGAAGTATGAACTATATTCAGTTTTATCAACAATTCATCTGTTTGTCTTATATTTTATTGATCTATGTTACATCATTTGTCATATTGACTATATTTGTCTTGTATTTATTCTGAAATCAGAATTCCTTTATGAATCTGATTTCATATCGTCTAACTGCAAAGTTTAGCAAAGAAATGCCTTCTCTGTGCAGTAAAACCTGAGTAATTTCACCTTCATAAGATCAAAAGAATCTCATATGTCAGACCTGGTCAATTCAAAAGTTACCAGAAAAAATCGATTTATATACACTGCATAAATGAAATATTTAGGCTAAACAGAAAATTACCTATTAAAAAACGATATTTAAAATATACATCATGAGTTAATAACACCTCAAACAACTCAATGAAAATACAAAGGTCTCTTAAAAGAGAAAAATTCATCCTACATTCCGGAACATCGGTATTATGAGCAAATAGTAGTCTAAAGAACAGGCCAAAGTCAACGGAAGTTAGGAGTGCGGCGCTACGCTTTCTGCGTCTATTGCCGTAAGTACAGGTCAATCATGGTTTACTCAATGATTATTAGAAGATATAAATAGTAAAAGGAGAAATAAATTAAACATTATTTCTGTTATTACCACGATGTGCTACAATTTCTGGCAAAATGATTACAGTGGCAGATTTCTCCACACAGAAGTCAGCGTTCGATAAGAAAACCTGGTCAACTAGTTTGGTCTGGACTATCTGCAGTCTTGCACTCGTCATTTTCGACAAGTAAGAGTACAGGTTATTGACTCTCGAATTGTTTTGAAACTGCCTTGACGTTACAAGTCCTTCCTGTACTTTAAGCCGTGCATTTAACGTTTTCAACTCGCAGTCCGTGATTATAATATTCCCTTTGGTTTGGATCAGAAACGCTTCTTGCAAGATATCTTTGAAGAAGTTGGTTGTCGTCGAAATGGGTCATGTTCGTGCGAAATCATTATCGTCTCCAGTAGTAACATGATAATAGTCTATCATAAAATCATCCTCAATTTTCTCCATGCATCTTAACCCAACATCGCTCGCTTGCTGACTCGATTTTGCTTGGAAACTCTGACCAACGCATTGAAATTTGAGGTCAGGCGCTCAATCCTGTATTCCACATCTGCTAAGTCTTTAAGAAATATTTTACTTTTAAGATAACAGTTATCATAACCTCCATTTAGAATGTAGGGCAACTCAGACGTTCGCTGAGTTTATAATCCGCCTTACCGACAGGGAATGTATGTAGTGTACGGAGGTTGTAAATGCGAGCTAATGCTTCATTCTAACTTATTTTCTACGTTCTGCTCTCTGTTGATTTTCAGATGAACTTCGTGGGATATTCATTTCCCTCGCTACGTCGTAAACGCCTTAATTTCGCTTGAGTCAGCGTTAGAGCACAAACTGTGGCTTCTGTTGTGTAACTGGCATTCAGTCACTTCAGTCTTAGTAGCAAGGGAGTGGTTAGATCATTAGTAAAGAAAATAAAACATCGGATTTCCTCGTGAAGACAAAATGGATGTAGTTTATAGAATAAACCATAATTTACGTGTTCAGAAAATCGACGGTGGGCTGAAATGTCAAAAATGGATTATCCTACAGAAAATAAATGTTATGTTAAGCAAGACGGAAAACATGTAAGAAAACAGAAGGTAATTTTTTACTTGCATGGTTGTCTGAATGATTCACGGTTCGGAGACACAAAACGCAGCAGATGGTAAACCGTTTAATGTCAAGGCGTTTCACTGCACAGACCGCAGTATATGTGTTTAAACAACCATGCATATAACTATGGGCTCAGAATCAGAAATCTGAAGAATAATTTAATTTTTTACGTGGTACCTGCTGAAGATGATGAGTATCAGACAGAAGATGATGGAAATGATGCTGGCTGACCTGAGTGCCTTACTCATAAACTATCGCGCGCTGACCTCTTGGCAGGATTCGAGAGTGCAGGATTCGGTGTTTTTATCTCCAGGCTGAAGACGGCTGGGAACGGAAGCAGAAGCCTAGTTCAGCCTACACAGAATTGTTGCTAAGAGTACACATTTTCTGTACATTTACTATCTCCGTTCAATTTGCAGTTCTTCAAAATAAAATTTTAGGATAGATTTGCTTTAATTACAAAGTACCGAGGTTTCACAATTCCAGCTTCATATGTTAGTATTAATTTCTTTATTTTGGCATAAATTTGCTTTTAAAAATTCAAATTAAAGAGCTCTGAATTAAGTCCTAATGCACAATCTTTTTCCATGTAAAAGGAAAGTACGTGTCAAAGCGGAATAAAAAATGACTCCTGCAACACAGAGCTCAAACAAAGTTAAAACGTCGATTTTCACTACAGTATCAAAGATTTCTTCGTGAATCAAAAGGGTGTAGCCCCATAACACGAGGTAGCACTGAACTAGCAGCATGAAAGAAGTTTAAGTACAGAAGCGACGAACAGCGAAAAGCAATTATGGCTAAATACTTACCCGCGTGGCTGCGATAATGTGAGCGAAGACTCGGTGTGGCCGTAAAGCGACGACGACAAATCTTGCAGGTCAGCTGCCGAGAAAACAGAAATTCATGTTGCTCCAGTTGTCTGAGGTAGCAAAGTGCCATATTCTAAATATTAAATATGGACATTAATTTTAAGCGAGTTTTCAAGCAAGGACGCAAAACAAGACACAGAGTTTTAAATATTTTTTTTTCGATCAAACCGATTTTGAAACGATCAAAAGTACAAAATACGATGTAGTCATGACGCGAGAGATATGTGACAGCTGCATGTGCAGATATACCAATGTAGGATAAGAATTTCTGCGATGCCATGCTAAACATGCCTAGATATTTTCGACGACAAAAGCTCATAGCACGAAGAGTGATGCAAAAGTGTAAATTATTATGCATTCTTATCCATCACGCAAAATGCATAATTCGACAACATGCCATGATTTTTTGTCTATGAGTTACCTCTTGTAACTGCATAATCAGGTACACTAAAATGAACGCGATAAAGCGTACTCATTGCAAAACATGGCTGTAATTCCCACACTCTGGTCTGGTCACATCAGAAAATCATAGTGCTCCCATTGCCTACAGCTCATCGTCTTTCTACCCATTTCTCAGATGTAAGAAAAATTTATTCAATGTTGTGGTTCGATCCCGCACCTGTAAACCCAATCGACTTTTTTCTCTATCGAGGACGAGATCGTGCAGATGGGAAACTGTGACCTACTGAAACTCATTGAAAGCTGCTATGGAACTGAGTCTACAAAATAGCGAAGAAAAGGCAAAAAATATGATGGCGCTTGGATAACGACAGGCTGTGAATGCTGTGGCACAATATTATGATAGACGAGGTGGAACATTTCAAGTCCATAAGAACTGTGTTGGCTAGCGATGGCGAATTTGAGCTTGAAATAAACCCAACTGTTGGACAGACGAAAGTGAAATGTCATAAGCTGTATGACATATGGAACCATAGAACTATGCGGACGTATACGAAGATCATTCTAGCAGCTGGCATATTCGCAGTCCTTGCGTACAGTCTTCAAACGCCTATCACTCTGCAGCGCCATGGGTCTCCTCTAGGCAGCTTCTAACAACGCCTGTGTGAAATACCCTAAAAGTGCGATACAAATGCCATATATTTGCCCTACGCAAAATTGTTAAGGAATCGTGGGAGTTCGCCCATGCCATGTACATGTGCTTTGTTGACCTATAGAAAGTACCTTCCAGCGTTGGTACTGGTCTCCGCCAAGGCTGCGTTCTGTCCCTTCTCCCGTTTGTGTTGTTAATGGATAGAATAGTCAGTTGCAGCCAAGGGGATGAGTGTGTCAATGTAGGAGACGCCGAGAGGAGATGGTTGCTGTTTGCAGACAACCTTGTTTTATTGGCATCTTCTGAAACTCCCTAGAAAAGTTCGCAGCCAAGTGCGATGTGACTAGCACGCGTGTGCCCGCATCTAAAACGAAAAACCAAGTGCTCTCTCGTTCTCCTGCCCGTTGCTCTCTTCAGATTAATGGAGAGACAGTGGGACAGGTGGAGAAGTTCAAGTACCTCGGAGACGTATTTACTAGTGATGGAAAATTTGAGGAAGAAATCGACAGGCGAACTGGAGTAGCTAGTGGCGTTCTGCGTGAACAAGCCCGATCCAGTGAATCTGAAAACTAGGCTATCTGTATTCAGGTCGATCTTTATCCCTATGCTACCTACGGTCATGAGCCGTGGACCGTGTTTGAAAAGATTCGAACCCGGGTACAAGCTGCTGAAATGGGATTTCTGAGAGTAGTTGCTGGCCTTACGTGTCTCGACAGAGTCCGGAATACAGACATCCGGGAGAGCCTTACTGTATAGTCTCTGCTTCTCCAGATTGAGAAGTCACAGCTACGATGGTTTGGGCATGTGTTGTGAATGCCTTCAGAAAGGAAGTCGAAGTAACTTCTTCCTGTCCAGCCGAGCAGCAGAAGGCCCGAGGGAACGGCTAAGACTATCCTGTTGCAAACATACAGAGGGTTTCTGCCAAAACTGAAACTCTGGTATAGGATCGGGAACGTTGGAATCGCTGTTTTACGCCTCTGCCTCCGTGACCCGAAAGGATAAGCGGTCAGAAGATGAAGAAGCTGAACAGGAACTAAAACTAATCAATTATGAAAGATAATCATACTAAAGAAAAATGCGGCACAAATCGAGAACAGCTAAAATTTACCGTTATGAAAGATTGAAAAGAAAATAGCGAAATCTGTTTATAAAGAAAACTGCTTATCTTCATTTAATTGCTGAAACGTTCCGGAACGAACGATACTCTGGGTAAAGTTCTACAAAAGAAAAGCTTTTAAATTATCAGTCATGCGCTACCATACTTTTATCGTCATCTATAAAGCGAAGATGTTGAGGAAAGGAACTGAGATATCGAATAGGATTTTACAGGATGGAATGCACGTCCTGTCAGTAAAATTAGCCTGAAAATACGACTAATTCTAAGTTTATGATGTTGCCAATTTTCGCCCCGTCATCGAACTTGGTCACTGTTTGCTAACTTTGACGTTTAACAGTTGCCACGTTGCCGAAGTTTCTCAAAATTCTGTAATTTCCAAAAGTTTATAGGAAGCAATGCAAAGGTATTTTTTAAGTGACGATAAATTTCACGTGTAGACGATTTAAGACTCTATCATTCGCACCATTCCAAGAATTTAGCGACCCTGCTATTATCAGTTTCACTTCCAATGAGCTGTGGTGCCGTTGATTTTTTAATGCGGACTCTATGGAGATTTGTATGCTGCTGTATTATTGTTACAGTTTCTAATAGTATTTCACTGTTCTTCTTCAGCAAAAGGTGTGTTCAGTACAGTACAACGAAAAATTGTGAGGATCTATAAAGGCCTTGCTAATGAAAGAGAACTGAGAACTCTCTTTCGAAACATTTAGGCTCATGCTTGGTATGGCTGCTTAATAAAAGATTTTCGCTTTCGGTGCTATTACACAAGATGTCAAAGCTGTTCTTAACATCATCGGCATAATCATCATCAAGCAAAGCTGATCTATGCAAATATAAGAATACTTACCACTTCGTCGTCATGTTTTTTCCGGTTCAAGGAAGCATCATTTTCACTTGAGGATGGATATGATTGTATCGAAGATGCAGCGACGTTCGCTGTCTCTAAGCTGTTGTCTATATCTTTGGGCATTATCATCCTTCTTTTGCTGATAAGATTTTTAACGCATTTTCCATTGAATTTCTTTTTACCATTTTGGAGGCTTTTGTTTTCCTCAGAAACGTTTTCACCAAATTCTTTCGTACTTTGACTTGATATGCTAAAAACTGATACCTAAGAGATTACACAAATAACGAAAGAGAAACA